CCAACATCTTTTTCAATCTTGCAGCTAACAACTTCGCAAAATTTTTGTAAAGACAACTGATCTTACCGGATCAGAAAATGATCAGTAGCCAGCAACACGTCGTGAGCTCTCAATCTGCCGATGGTGGAGAAGAGGAGGGGTGTACCTGCAAGGTACTCCGATGTCAAAGTAAGAGACGGACTACAAATAGCAAGAACAGAGAAAGTGTGTAGAAAATAGAATACATGACCCTATAGTGAAAGAGGGTATTTATAATGTGCCCCCAGCGTTGGGCCAACAGTTACATTGCATTGGGTTAGATTGCAAGGCCTAATACGAGTAACTGTCAAAGCTTACGTGGCGTATGGAAGACCGGCACGTGGTCTTCGCCCTAGGTCAACTGCCTTGTGATCTCCAGAAGGTGGGTGGCATGTTCTTTCTGACACAGGTAGTTTCTTGATGACGTATCCCCGCGTGGGGAGCACGTGGAGACCGTGGGGGAGACGTGTGAGAGCTCCCTGTGTGCGTTGATCAATTGGGCCTTCATAGGACCCTCTTTGACGAGGAGCTGGGTTGGGTCGTACCTGACGGTGGGTCAGCCTCTAGCCCAATCCAGAACAACAACCAACTAAACAAATCGGTCTATAATTTGTCAAACCTAAAGGGTGTGGAATCTTATGAATCAGAGAAATGAAAGAAGAAGAGATAGCTTTAGGCAAAACAAAATGCTATAAAATCCCAAAATAAAAGAACAAATGTCTTCCTTCAAAGTATCCCAACAAAGTTTTATAAATGCAAAGTTGAATCCATCCGGTCCCGGGCTCTTTGAGCCATCACAACTCCAAACCACACTTTTAATTTCTTCTTCAGTAAAAGGAGCTCCCAAAACTTGACATCTATCGAGCTAAGAGTTCTAGTCAAGATACCCTCCAAAACTGGTTTGTTACCATCAGATTCTTTATATCTACCCGAATAAAACTTCCAAATCGCTTTCCTCACATCTAAAACTGATTCTGCTACACCCTCCTCCGTTTGGACAGCTCCAATGAACTTTCTCTTAGCCCTACCTTTTACCACATTATAAAAAAATCGAGTGTTATTATCACCCTCATAAGTTCACTTCAACCTAAATTTTTATATCCGCATGTTATCCCTAATATGAAAATGTTTCCACACATCACAAATAATCTCATTCCTTTTACTAACTAACTCCTTCACCTCGTCGATAACACAACTTGACAGCAACTTATCAACATCGTTAATACCTTCAACTCCTTCTTCGACTTTTAAATTGTGCCAACCAAACACCTCATTATTCCATCCCTTAAGACTAGCTTTCAAAAGTTTGAACTTCTCTTATGAGACATATTATTGTCACATAATCACTTCAATATTTTCAGCCAAAAACTGTGTAATTGTGTTTTTATTTGGACAAAAGCATTTGTGCCAAATAACCGTGTCAATGGTTTTGTTGGTGTTATTGTCGACCAGAGTTACTTAAATTAATATTATGATGATGAAATGTGACATGCTTTCATATATAGTATTATTATCGCAAATTCACCTTCCATATTTTCAGCCAAAAATTGTGTTCTAATTGGTTGTTTTTACTTGTGCAAAAAATTGTACCAAGTGTCAATAAAAATTTATTGATATGTTCTTGTCGACCAAAATTACATATATCAATATTAGTATATTTTGATGACCAGATAATAATGATGATGTGCTTTTATTTTACAAATTATATAATCAACGTGCTTTATATTTTATTTTAATTTATTTAAAATTTTTTATATAAATATTAGTATCTTTTATTTTTTCTTTATTTTTTACCTCTATTATATTTTTTTATATAAAAAAAAATAGAGATAAAAGATAAAGAGAAAATAAGAGATACGGTTTTAAATAGTTTTTATGAACAACATGTATATATCATTAAAATACTAAAATATATTAAAATTCATTTAATATATATTGATGATTTTTTATTAGTTAAATATTTTTTAGTAGTGTGATTATTTTTATCTTTTAGTATATATCCGCTAAATCCAAAAATAAAATCTATTTATATACTTAATTTTTTTCACTGTTATAGCGATCTTGTGTTGGTGATTCTAGTATCATCAATGTATTTTATTAGTAATGTGATTTACTGTAGGTCGATCCAATTATGCGTTAAGTTTGGAAACGAGTTAGGGTAGTGCGGAGTGCACGCTCGTCGAACCTACATGTAATTGAATGCGAATAATTGAAAAAGGGGTTCTGAGGGACGAAGCCCCTGGCGGAGTGCGGGGCAGCGCCCCGCTGGGGTTCCAAGGGGCGAAGCTCCTGGCGGGGTGCGAGGCAGCGCTCTGTTGGGGTTCCAAGGGGCAGAGCCCCTGGCTGGGGTCCCGCTCAAAAGTTTTCTGAACAGTTGAACTCGTTCGAAAGTTTTCTGAACAGTTGAACCCGTTCGAAACCGACTTAACCGTTTTCTGAACAATTGTGTCTTTTCGGTTTCTGTTATTAATCTCCTATATAAGGAGTCATTTGGCCTCAGTTTAAAACACTTAACAAAAACCATACTTTCTCTCCACATTCCTGATCTGTTCTCTATTGCCAGAAGCAGATTGTTTTTCAAGAATTATCCCCACAAAGATTTCGTGAACTCAGACAATAATAGGATCGAAATATTTTGTTCGGAAAGTGTACGAACACAATTCCTCGAAGTTATCCAGGATTATCATACTCAAATTTCTAACATCTTGATGGCTTTTAGTATGCTTACACTAAAATAAAAAGTTTGAATATTCTCATACGAATAATCATCTACAAATAAAAAAATTAAATATTATACTATAACTATATATAAATTAAAATATTTTTATTAAAAAAATTAATCAAATATTTCCACAGTCTTTTATATTTGATCTTTATATGCATTTAAACTTTTTGTTTCATAAAAGTCACTTATAGTATTTGGTTAAAAGATTAGTTATTTACAATACAATATTATTTTAAATACTTTTTGTTACAAATATTTAATTTTAATGATTATATATAATACACGTCTCTAATTTAAGGGATTGTTTTGAAGAAAAATAATAATAAAAATGATCAAATCATTTTCCTCCGAAATAATAAAAGAAAATATATATTAAGACACAATTAGAGAGAGAAACATTAACCTCCAAAATATTATTCATTGCAGATACATTTCTCATAAAAAAAAAGAGGGATGCACTGACAGTGTAAATTTTTTTTATATTGTCAACCAATGACGACCATGTATCTCACTATATCATATTAAAAATTTTAAATTAATTATATGACATAATAAAATAATATATTTCGATTAGATGACAGTGTAAAACATGTTTTCACAGTCAGTGCATAACAATTAAATTCTTCGCATATAATATATTATATGTTGCATGAGAGTCAAATAGTTATTTATTCAACCAGAAAATGATTTCTCAACCAAAAAAAGTCAAATAGTTATTTAGTTCTCTTTTCTTATAAATAATTAGACTATTTCTTAACGCATTTTATATGTTTCAATTGCACTACGCGAATTTCTACAAATATCCTATATTTTTGAAGATGCATCTCTGAATACATTAAAAGGTCAGTTAATATTAAAATATTTCGGACATGCATCTTTGAAATATTTTGGAGGTTAAGTCGCGTCAGACTCTTCTCTTTTCTCACTTTTCATTTTTTTTTATTTTACTCAACTCGATCTTCTCTACATCAACTCAAATTTCATTCGACAAGGCTTAAGGCAACTCAAGGAAACATCAATCTTCATCTATAACATCATCTAACTTCATCAAAAACATCAATTTCTTATAAGTTTTTCGAATTTTTGATAAATGTTTAAGTTTTGGTGTAAATGAGTATAAATCAATGATTAGGGTTATAAATGAGTAGAAATCACATTTAAGATAGTTTAGCCATAATGTATTAGTTGTTTGTTGACTAAGACTGATGATCAAAATAATTTTTCTTGGGTTTGCATGTGGTACATTACGCCATTGACGCAACTTCTGACACTACAAGAAAAACGATGGATTGCGACGGTTATTTTGGCAGGTTACGACTGTTAAAACCATCACCAATTACATTCTACGACGGTTGTAGTACCGTCGCAGAAACGTGTGTCCCCAGGCTGTTTAGCGACGGTTGAAAAAACCGTCACACACAACCGTCGTTATATTTTACGACGGGTTTGAACTGACCTAAACTGAAGATAGCGACGGTTAAAGACCGTCGTTACTAGCCTTTTGATTTTTATTTTCATTGATTGTGATGGTTTAAAACTGTCGTGAACTCTATTTCGCGAGGCCGTATTACGATGGTTGTGAAAACTATCGTACAAACCGTCGTTATTTTCACGACGGGTAGCCAACTATCGTAATCTCCATATTGTGACGGTTTTCAACCGTCTTAACTTGCTTAATGTTTTTTGTTTTATTGGGAAAGTATATTGTGGCGGTTTGAACCGCCGCAATTTGCAAATATTGTTTTTATAAAAACTATGGTATATTGTGGCGGTTTGAACCGCCGCAAGTTGCAAATATTTTTTTTTATAAAAATCTATGGTATATTGTGGCGGTTTGAACCGTCGCAAGTTGCAAATATTTTTAAAAAAACTGCAAATTCTCGACCACCAATATTTCCAACCTACAAATTACCACCAGTAAGGTCTTTAATTATCTCAGTTGACTTGTCGTCATTTTCAACAACCACATGAAATAAGCTGTTAAAACAAAGTTAATATCATCATATTAGATCATCTCTAAACTGGACAGATAATAATAGTGTACATTTTTATCAAATGCTAAGTAGTCAACATTGCTCAACATTTAGATAAACAAAACACTGAAATCCATAATAGGTTTGACTCTTCTCTTGACCCCCCCATGGCATGGTGGGATATTTGTAGCAACGAGTTACCCATTTTAGCATATTTAAAAAATAAAAAGTACTGCAAACACAGAATAGAATCACTTTACTTCATTTAGCACTTAAATGTCATATCATTTTTGGAGGGAAAAAGTCTCTGCAGTTTCTTTTGGACTAGAAGTTATTGCATCTCTGAGATTATCTAGCTCCACCAAATTCATTACTTCATCCACAAATTTCTGCAAAGATAAAACAAAAACATCTAAGATCACAAATGATTGGGAGAAGAAAAGAGAAAATATGCCGGGTACTTACCATTTTTTCGTCATTGTTTACTTCTCTAGGTAGTCGAAGGAAAGCCGAGTAAATAACGGATTCTTTGACAGTAACTTGAGGCGAATGGATATCGGTTTGTTCACAGTAACCAGAAATTCTCGCAAAGGTTTGTTGATTCTTGGGGAAGCCAGAGATTCTAATATCTCCTTGAATGTAACCGCATGTCTTTCTTCCAGCTAAAGCATCCATCAATGTTGTCTTTCCAGCTCCACTAACTCCCATTAAAGTAGTTAAAACTCCAGGCCTAAATGCACCAGTTACTTCTCTAAGCAATTGTAGCATATTATCTGTTATCCTTGCTCTTTCGTTTCCTGTTCAAAGTTACATTTGAAGATAAATATTGTAAAGGCGTGTGAGTAAAGTCTATAAGGATTGAGGACGATGATGATCTTATTGCTGGCATGTCGACAAAGTAATTAACACTATCAAAAGACATGGCAAGTGGTTGAAAAGGAAGAACCATTCCTCTCTTTGGTGCAACTCCAATGGCTGACTCGAGTTTTGAACTCGCATTACCTCTACTGCCCATTCTCTGCATTGCCACTTCTCCTGAAAATGTAAGTACAATCTTCATTAGCCTAATGTGCCTATGTCTTCGACTGCAATGCGGCTGCAATACCTTTCTATTATTAAAGCTTAAGGTTTAAATACTCGCTCCGCTCTAGCAACCTACCTACTTATTAGTAAACTACGAGCTATACCCGAGAAACAAAAGTACAATTCTAGCTAAGCATTTACGGTAAGGACTATAGTTGAAGATGTTTACTTGTGTCATTCCCTTTGTTGGACTCCTGTCTTCCAAGTCTCGGTTCCTCCTTCGAATCTCCTCCGATTTCCATTTTACTTGCTTCTTCTTCTGATATAATTGCTTGTTTCTTTCCAATAGCTAGTGAATCAAACAAAAAACAAAGCGAATCAAAAGCTTTTCTTGACACTTAAGTAATATAAACATTTTGTAGAGAATGCGAGCTCTTACGGTTAAGGTACATAAGTGAAAGGGTGAACAGAACATTATATAAAATAGTGAAACCAATAAGAACTCCAACACCTATCCAGTACCAATTTTCATTACTATAAACATCAAAGATATTCAATGTGGCTACACCCAATGATGTTGATCCATTTGAAGACTGCAAAACATGAAAACTTCGAGTCAGAACTATAATTTTGGATTAAATATGTTTATAGTTCTTTAAAATACGAAAGTACTCACCGGTTTGCTCCACCTTGGAGCAAACATTTCGTTAACCGATAAAGCATTGAAAGCATATGACAATGGAGAAAGCCAATAGCCCCAGACCCACCAATTTGGAATGTCACCTGTTAACATTAAGGCTTAACCATATTAATGACCATAACAAATTACATAACATTAGTGCCTTAATTAGAGTTTGATTAATGATTAGTGACTCACGTTTAGGAAGAATGAAACCTCCAAGTAGGAAAACAAGAAGAAGCATGAGAGATCCACCAGTGTTGGATATGATCATTATCCTACAAACTCCTGATATTACCCTAAACAACCCAGCTGCCATTTGTTGAATAAGAAACACCAGCAACAAATGCTTGAAGAACCTACAATGTTTTATTAGTATTACAGATACATCACTTAATACTAATATCATCTATCTAATCTTTGCTATACAAAACGCTTATAAAGTTTACTGAGATTCAAACCTTAAAGTGACTACAGCAGCAGCGAGTTTGTGAGTAAAGTGGCGATGGCGGTAGCGAGATTAAGCGAAGTCGTGATGGTGACAACAAGATTGAACCATTTATTTGTCATAACAAAAATCAATTCAATAACTCAATAAACACATAAGCATCAAATTGATTTAGAGAATCAAATTGATGATAAAATCACATTTAAATGATGACAGTAGTAACAAAGTTCAGTGAACAATTGTTTTTAACACTGAGATTTTCTTAATTTTAACACTGAGATGATAGTAATAACTTGTAGTAACATTTTCTCTAATACAACCAAGTTAATGACATACATGTGGCTTGAGACTATAAGGTACAATTTGAACACAACTGAGTCGAAACAACAACGAATAAATAAAACTACAAAATAAGTACCTAAACCATGCATTTAAATTGATATTCACATCACCAATTGCAGCTGCATAGTTGTTGATGGGTAGTATCCAAAAAGATGCCAGAATCTTGATTGCAGTGTGCTTTGAAATCCTATGGCAAGAGCAACTCACCATCTCTCCATCTCCTTGCTCCTGCACACAAATGAATACAGTGATAACATCCCACAAACAAAACCCTAAAATAGATCCTAGTTGAACAAAAGCCACCACCATTTCACTAGTTGAACAAATAAACTCAAAATATGGATGAGCTTATCCTGAAGCTTAGAATCACCATTTGCAAACTTAATCTTAGATTCACTGGGTCCGGAAACACGATTCACATCATCCTTTGTAAAAATAGATGGTGGCATCTTACAATCAATCATGGCATTCAGAAAAAGCCTGGAACGAAGAGGAACAAAAGCCATGGATTTTAAATGCATATCAGAGCTATTCAACTCTAACAGGGCTGCAAATTCAGTATCACTTTCATCTGCAGCCATAAGATCATAAAGCCATTGACAGTCTCGAAAACATACATCACGAATTTTGACTTACCTGAATTTGAAGTGCAGTACCAAAATCACCATTGTTTAACGCTTAACAAAGCTGAAGGAGCTTATCCGAAGCATTTTTGGAGACGTCCCCACTGCTCAACTTAGCAAACAACCCACCAAGTCTCTTTGAGTTGTCTTCTATTTCCCGCCTCTTTGCTGGGTTTGCACGTGAACCTCCGAGTGCTTCTGATGTCTTATTGAAAAGTCTTGTCAATGTTGTTACAATAGGCATTTGGTGTGCTGAAATAGTAAAAGTAAGAGTTAAAACCAAAATAGAATAAGACAAGGAACACGTGATAAGTGAAATACATATTATTGTTTAAGACAAATGCTTTCCGACTCATAAAATAAACATCAGTACATTTAGCTAGTATTTTCATTCAAAGAAAAATCCAAAGTCGCTGAAAAATTAAAGAAATATTACCAGGTACTTTTGAAGTATCAGCAGTCTACACAGTAGGTGGTGGAGCTGCCGGTGCAGCAGCAGGTTGCATAGATTGCAGTTGCGAGGGACTGGGAGGCTGAATTGATCCCACACCAGGTCTTTGAATGCCAGCAGGACTGAGGATTGGCATGAACCCCATTGGATTCGAGGTAGGTGCCAAAACTTGTGGTGGTCATCATCAATTGGCCGCACGTTTGAACATTCTGCTTCTTCAATTTTTCCTGTAAAACATGACCCACTCCTGGAAGTGCATTAATTGGCAGTTGACGTAAATGATCTTCAACCTGGAAAAGTTAACTATATAAGAGGGCAAGGCAAAAATATTGACATATTCCACACCAACTATTATATCAAATTCTATTAGACAGAAAACATGTAATATATATTCGTTTTCGGCTAGTTCCTTCTACATGTAATATATATTCGTTTTCGGCTAGTTCCACACCAGTTGGAATTGCCTGTTTCTGCAAATGTCTTATGCACCTATGGAATCATGAATTTGAAAATAAAGGATAGTAAGCTTGTTGGCCTCAACCTGAAGTTATGTTAATGTATTAATTTTTTGAATTCAAGATAATTATCTGCTATCAGATCAAAGCATTACTTGCTCATCTCTTTCAAGAACATGTCATATGCTGGAAAATGCAGTCAAAATTGTATGCCTCATACCTGATCTCTTATGTCCATCTTGTCAAACTCATCAATGCAGCAAATACCATTGTCAGCAAGCATCAAAGCACCAACCTGAAAAATAGGTCTTACATTAGAAAACAAGACATGTTTCTTAATACCCACTCCTTCGGAAATTGTTTATAACTCAGAAAACTCCTCAAGTCATGTTTCATAAATAGTTTTAATGCTACGCTTATAGGGGTTTCTAGATGAAAAATTCTAATTACAACATGCAAATATTTCATAATATTCATTTATCAAATAACTAATTTCCAGCAAGTACTTTCAACCTAAACCAGCTATAATCATATTATTGTACTTTGTCAAGTAATTGGGACAAACAGTAGCATTAGTTTAATCTAATTTAAACTAGGATATGGTATGTGCCAATTTAAATTTGCCAAACCGAAGACACAACTCCAATAACAGATGTTTGTGAATGGTATAAATTTTCAATCTTTTTCCTAGAATATTCTATCCAGCTGCTAATATTAAGAGTGAAGATATTTCAAAACTTCCAGTAAGTACAAGACAAATTATTGACCTCAATACAAAACTCTCCAGTTTCTGGTTCCTTGGCAACAGTTGCAGTCAAACCAGCAGCTGGCAATGAACAGGAAAACAAAATGTGACCAGAATTTATTACATACTAGCGATAAATATAACAGAAAGGTGGCTTGATTAAAGCAATCACAAACATATTCATAACCATAATATAGGTAAAAGCAGTCAGTCACAACAGCCGACAATATGAAATCAAAATCAGATGGTGACATAATAATGCAGAGGTAATATTCAACTTACAGAAAATTGCAGATCATCTTCCTCTGAATCCTTCTTCCTATTCCTAATGTCTATTTCTCTTCTACCATCACAAATCTGGGACAAACCATTCAGAAAACACATCAATCACAGCTAAGATTACATCATAAAAATTTAATAAACCAATAATAAAACACAAATAGCCAACCTGAACAGAGTTGGCAATAAAAGCCAGACGATAGGAGATGTCTCGGACTCCCAAAGCCCTAAGGGCCCTTACACCTTCATTTCCAGATGAAGAACCCTTGCGTTGAGAAGCTTCCCTGCGGCATTCTAATCTCTCACCAGGGGATGCCAATGCCAATATATCCGGTATGACAATTACAGTGCCAGTAAAAATCACTCTGCGAGGAGACAGTTTATGGTTGGACTATTGAGTTGATAAAGTAAGAAAAGTTAAAATTTCAGTAAAATTTGAACATTTCAAGCAAATAAGTGGCTAGAAAAGGCTTACGTGTCATCGGCCCTTGCATGTTCCACAATCTTATGATGGAGAATAACATCCAATGACCTAGGCAAAGAGCCCGCAGGTATCTCTTTGGAAGTCTCCTGCATTCTGACTCTTTGCCAATCTATGGTTCATTCTAAATCTCCTCAACATTCATTCTTAGCATGGATGAAACTGATATAAGCAGTAACAAA